TCACAGAGGAAAGCTAGATTTATATTTTTAACATCAAATGACACGTTAGAATTTTCTAGCTCAGTAGCAGCAGAGCCGCCTAATGACTATCGTATCCTGTTAATTATAGAGTCTGAATGGTTTGGTGCTCTGGAAAATGTCTTTATTTATAACAAAAAAATGGTGACACTAGTGATAAATCACATTTTGTAAACATCTATAATTAACATTGTTGCAAGAGCAACATAAAAAGTTATTTTCTAGTCTCTTTTTCTCGCTCAACCTTCACTAAATGCATATTTGTACGTATGTGTGGTATGGGAGTAATGATAACAGAGAATTGAGAAAAACATTTTGGGCTCATTGCTATAGTTCAGTAAATCATTTTATTGAGAGAGATATATGACATTGTAATAAAGAAAAAGAAGACACTGGTCTGCGCCAGTATTATTTTCTATATGCTATTCCATTAGTGAAATTGGTCTGTACCAGTATTTTTTCTGTCTCTCCATCAGAAGACACTTGCCTGGACCAGTAGGTTTTTTTCCTAATATTAATTCATCAGAAGACATTGGTCTGGACCAGCAGGTTTTTTCCCAACATTCCTCCATCGGAAGACATTGTCTGGACCAGTAGGTTTTTTCCCAACATTCCTCCATCGGAAGACACTTGTCTGGACCAGTAGGTTTTTTCCCAACATTCCTCCATCGGAAGACATTGGTCTGGACCAGTAGGTTTTTTCCCAACATTCCTCCATCGGAAGACATTGGTCTGGACCAGTAGGTTTTTTCCCAACATTCCTCCATCAGAAGACATTGGTCTGGACCAGTAGGTTTTTTCCCAACATTCCTCCATCAGAAGACATTGATCTGGACCAGCAGGTTTTTTCTGTTACTCTATCAGAAGACATTGGTTTGCACCAGTTTTTTCCTTATAGTGCATCAGAAAACACTGGTCTGCACCAGCATATTTTTTCCTGTTTTCCATCAGAAGACACTAGTCTGCACCAGTATGTTTTTCCTGGTACCCATCAGAAGACACTAGGTTGCATCAGTATTGTTGCGTCAGCAGAGGTCACGTGATTAGTATCACGCTACGTCGTTCTTGAACATTCACGTCCTTTCCTTAAATCTCGGGATCCTTCTAGATATAGTGTAGTCTTGTATATATAACACGGTCACAAATTGACGGTAACAATGTGTGTAATTGAACGGAGTATTGTTGAGTCGAGCACGTGAGACATTCGTTGAGAATTATAGCGTTTGTTATAGCGCGACTGTTGAAATTAATCTATCGCAAAGTTATATTCAGAAAGAATAAACCAGTTTTATTTAAGAAAGGACTTGTGTCGCTAAAGTTTCGTCGGAACGAATTTACGGAAAATTAACTAACGAACGGAAACATAACAGTATGATTTAGTTTTTGATAAATCAATTGATTTATCTCTAAATTATCAAAAGTAAATGATGTATTAGGTTTTTAGCAAATATTTATGGGTTTTTTTAGTCTTTTTCAATTCACTATACAGTAACCTAACTTAATTTAGGTGCGTGAGTAATGTTATCACATTACGCCTATTTCATTATTCGATATTATAAGCGAACCATCTCTGTTTAATGATTATATATATATATGTCATATATTTCTTTTCTTTTCTTTTTCACTAAAGGAAAAACTAAAAAATAATCTGTGACGCAGAGGCCTAATGCATTCCTTGATTGGCTGTACCCTTTGCTGTGGATTGCATTTTTGCCTATTCAAGGCTCATCAACACAGCTTGGGTCAGCAAATATTCTGAAATAAAGTTGATAAAACCCCTACGCTTTCGAAAGGTGAACTTCTTGAACCTATGTATTTTTCTGACATCATGCTTGAAATAAAGTTGGTCTATCAAACTAAGAAGAGATTCTATTATTTCTGTGTTTGAACACATGTTTCACGCTTTATATTTTACGATAATATTTATAAATATATTGTTACATCTCTGGTCAGTAGTTAATTTCTCGTAGAAATTCTTCCTGATAAACTTCAGCGATACAAGTCCTTTCTTAAATAAAACTAGTTTATTCTTTCTCATTACAACTTTGCAATACACTTAATTTCCACATTTAAACACACGCTATAATTCTTAACGAACGATTCACGCACTTTATTTAATACC